ATATCTTTCAGTTAGTTATTCAGATATCGTGAGACGCGGACGGGTGTGATGTAGGTTTCAGAAAAAAATTTCTTTATCGTGCCAACGTTTCGATCTTTTATTGAGATCATCTTCAGGGCTCAAAGTGTTTGTCTTCTGTGTAATTGTGCCATCCTTGCGTGTCGTGTTGTTGTTGTGACTCTCACCACGACACGCAAGGATGGCACAATTACACAGACGACAAACACTTTGAGCCCTGAAGATGATCTCAATAAAAGATCGAAACGGCACAATAAAGAAAATGTTTTTCTGAAACCTACATCACACCCGACTGCGTCTCACGATATCTGAATAACTATCGATTAACGGTCACTAATCTCTACACATCTTTCAGTTAGTTATTCATTCAATATGTTTAGTGGAGGTCATCTAACAAAATCCTAATCCTGACATTTGACCACGTCTCAGAAATTAAATTTAATTAAACTTGGAAGAACCTTTCCCCAGTCAAATTCAACTTTTTTTAAACCTAAATTAAACTATTCCAAAAATTTGGTTGTTGGTAAACATTTTGGTCTTTTTATCATAAAAATTTTGCCATTTTCCCTATCGTCATTGTGTCTGTTGCTTCAAACATATATGTCAGGGTAGAATTAAAGAAAAAAGTATAATTTTGAAGGATGTTAGTTTATCAGCTTATCTCTTTTTTGTTCCACCAAGCAATGATGGAATGGAGGGTTGTAATAACAGATGTAACTTTAAAGGTGAGGTCAATAATGAGTTAAATTTAGGGCCAAATATAGTATTAAATAAAAATGGATCGACATAAATTAGGGTGCAGGAATGAAAACTGAAAACAACTTGGCTTGTCAAATGCATTTAGGCTTGTTCAATACAATGATCAAAATAGGATAGAGACCAAAATCATTGGAAACCTCAAACTAAAAGTCAGTGAGTTATTTAACTCAGTCCACACAAAAGCCAGAATAGAAAGTCACTGAAAATAGATAGATCGAATAATTTCATGAAAAAAAAAAAGAAATTTACTTAATAAGCAAGTCTCAACAATTCATTATATTATCTCCAGTATAAGGAGCTCAATAATGCTGAAAAAAATTATACACCATCCAAAAGTTTGCCGTTTTCAAAGAAATTACCAACCCATAAACAAGTGTCCCTGATTTTATGTTCTGTAACAGGATTATACTTATTTCAGTGATGCCTCCAATGGTATGAAATACTTATAAAAAAACATGCACCAATGCAATCCCAGAAAGAAGCTCTATTTAGTCAAGAATAGGGAAAAGTGCATCCAGTTTGCTGAAGATCATTTAAGAAAGCCTAATGCATTTTGGGAATTATTTTCGCCGATGAGACCAAATTGGATTATTTAATTTTCCATTTAAACTACCTGGAAGAGGAAGGATCTTTTACTCTACGTTACTGAAGGCATATTTTTTAAAAATTTTATTGTTAACAAGGAGAAACTAGGTCACCAATCATTTTTATTAAAATAATTATTTTTAAAATACAATTATTTAAAAGTTTACTCTTTGAATTCATTTGGGTCAGTTCCCGATTTTTTTATTTTGTTGTTAGAATTAAATTGTTTGAGTAGTGGCACTAATATTTGTTCATGAGTGTCATGAGTTGATCAAAGTGAAGGGGATCCGTGCAAAGCTCATGATAAAGTTAAATAATATATTATAAAATAATAGAACGATCCATTAGTGAGGTGGAAAATTTAATTTTTAATTAAAGCATAGAAAACAAGATAGTTCACAAAAATACTACCACTACTTTAACCACTGCGTTAACTCACCTGAGGAAGGATTAAAATAAATCTGCAATGTTGTGGATTGAAAGAAAAACTTGTTGTTTTCTTGAGATGACCTATTATCCCACCTTCGAGAAGGAAAAATCATAAGTCAAAAATACTACCTTATATCTGGCCGGAACTGAATTATTGGGTTATCCTGAAAATATTACAGGTTTTTGGGTATAAAATATAAATAGTTAAATTTAAAAAAAATTATATAAAAATCTTAAACATTTTTTATTAATTAAAATACCCTTCTTCACTTTCAGTAGACTTCTCCCAACATGATGGTAACTCTATACGCCCTGAATAGAATTTTGAGTCTTTATTATTAACAAATTGTGTGAACACATTTTCTAACGATGAAATTTTTTATTTTGTAAATGTTGTTCTGAAAAAGTGGTAGTGGAGACGAGAGATCTGGAAAATAGGGAGGGCTAGACAGAACCTCATAACCAAAATCTAACAGTTGTCATGCTGTCACATGTGAGACATGAGGCCGAGAGTTGTCGTGTAACTGCATCGGTCTTTTCTGATTGACCGAAGATGCCTTCAATAATACCAATTTCTGATGCATAGCTTCAATTTTAGAACAATATTGATTGTTTCACCAGGATTCAACAAGTCCAAACGAAGCCAACAACACCTTTTTTTTTTTGATGAGTTAGGGGCTGTAGAAAATGTGGTGATGCTATTCCTTCGTCGAGCCTCTGTGTAGGTTTCCATAAAACGTCTGGTATTATCGTACAGAATCCACTTGTCAACACAAGTAACAATTCTATCCAGAAAAATTTGGTTTCTGTTTCGACGAAGAAGTGTTGTGCAAACTTCATAACACTGATTTTTTTTGCGATCGTTTAGTAGATGAGGAACGCAACTTTTGAGCTTTTTTACCTTTGCAATTGCCGTAATGTGGTCAGCAATGTTCGATTTGCTAACTGAATGATTCTCTGCAAATTGTTAAACGGTTGTCCTGGGATTTTTTTCGGCCAAAGCTCACAGAACATCATCTAGGGTGTTGTAAGACCAGCCCTCCGGTGTGTCTTCTTTTACATAATTTCTCCTGAATCAGTGCTGCCTGGTGATCACCGTTCAAGCTACGCTTACAGACCTATGTTATTTAATAACAATTTCTCTTTCTTCCTGATAAATCCTTCCACGACCTCTTGAAATTTTTTAAACCATTTATGAACGGTGTTCTCGTTCACATTGCCATCTCCCCAGAATTCATTTATGTTTCTGGCTGTTTGGGCACCATTCCGACCGAGTTTAACTTGTAAAACGAAATTACGCAAAAATACATGTTGACATCTTAGTCAAAAATGACTAGCCAAAAAATTCCAAGTAATGAAATGCTACTAAGGGAAACAAACATTTTGTTTGTAAGAGGATGAAAAAGTGTTGACATTCATACAAAAGAATATTCCATCAATAGTAAACAGTTTATTATATAAAGGGGCAATTGAAAGAAAACCTGCATTATTATTACATATTACATTATTTTCCAGATAAGCCAATATGCTACGTAACCTAACTTAACTCTTGCATTACTTGAGTTTTAAAAGCTGCAATGGAGACGGAACTTAGTCACTTTACTATAAGTATGCATAGCACACACTGATCTATAAGTGAAATTCACAAGCTCGTGTGACTTCTTACAAACTGGAGCAGTAAAATCTTACCATCCAAAAACATCGACTGTCCATCTGGTGTGTCTTCTTTTATATTGCTCCTCGAGAATCGGCCGGTGCTGTGTGGTGATCATGGTCACTGTTCTACGCTTGGGGTTCCTAAAAAGGGCTCTGAGGATCTTTGATGTCCGCATCTAGCCTATTTGGCCTTATCGGACGTTTTGATTCTCAAGATGAAAGCTGACGTACCTCCGCATAAGACAGGATTGTGTTACCGTCGCAGCATTGGTGTAGAGGCAGCTCAGCCCCAAAGGGCCAAGACAACCTCCCTCCCCGCTTGTCCATTCCAAGTGGCCGGGCCTGCATAGAGCATCAGACAATATGCTGCGTGCAGGTTTTATGCTACCTAAGCCGAAATTCATCAGCCCGGTCTCCCGCGCGCTCCCTAGATAGAGAAGGCGACTCTATCGCCCAGAGTATTGGGGCTCCCCTGGCATTGAAACTTCCCTAAATGTTCTATGCCTACAAACCCATCTTATTTAGTAACAATTTCTCTTTTACTTCTTGATAAATTCTGAATGAATTAGTGGATTTTCAAGTTAAGGCACAACCAGAGATCCACCTTCCGATAAGGATGATCGGACTAGAAGTTTTTACTTTTGCGCTGGCCAGCCGACAGGTGACAATATATTGAAAACATAATAACGAGGCTTTTTTTTCTTTTACTACCTATGCTGCCCGACATTGGAGTCTGGACTGTGAGAGCGAGTCATCTTTTTTACTTCCAACGCCACCCGATATTGGAGCCGGGACTACGCACCACGTCTTCCAGGAGAGTGAAAATTTCACTTATTTGTGTTTCGGGTGGAGGACAGTGACCCAAAGGAAAACATGATTTTTTTGCCTTTTTTATGTTAAAAAAATATCCTTCGCAAACATTATTTACGTTAATTTTTGAAACTTGCAAGTGTTGCCCTTTTCTTTCCTTTTTTCAATTTCTGTTAACTTTAATGAATCTCACCTCTGGGGAGAGGAGCGATAGAAATGAGCGTGCGAAGCGTTCACTCCGCCTCTCAAAATCAAACATGTAATAAAATTTTGGGTATGCCACGACTGAACGGATTGGCCTTCCATGCTCTCCACCTCAGCAATTGCCAAAGATAGCATCTTTTTGATCCTACATTGATGAAATTTTGCATCTAGTTTCTGGGAATAGTACTGATTAATGTCAGATGACTGCATATTTTTCATCCATACAATATCACCAGCTTGAAATTTCACTTGATGACTTATCAAATTGTAACTGTGTGCTCTGATACTCTTCAGGATATTTTTATTTTATTATTATATTTAATTTTTGTTTTGCAAACTAGTTTTCTTTGTTTTTCTCTAAGCTATTCAATAATTATAGTTCAATTTATTGAAAGTAATAAGTTAAAATTCTTAATTATTAAATCCATTATATTTAGTGGTCTGTTGACCAAATTACTTCTTCCAATTAATTTTTTTGTGTGTTTTTATTCTTAATTATAGTAAAAACTAATATAATGTTTTCTTTCTTTTTGTTTCAGTACCCCTGATTTTTGTCAACATATTCACGATTGCATTCAAGCTAATTTTTGGTTAAAAAAACAAAAACAAAATAAATAAATACAACCATTATTTTTATATAATATAATAATCAAAATGAGTTTATACAAATTTATTGACATCGGTGCCAATTTGACAGATCTTATGTATCAAGGAATATACAATGGTTCTAAAAAACACCAACCAGACTTAACTAATGTACTAAAAAGGGGATGGGACAACGGGTTAGATAAAATTATAATAACAGGAACTTATTTGGAAGATTGCAAAGAGGCTTTGGAACTCGCTAAAACCGATGAGAGGTTGTACCTGACCATCGGGTGTCACCCGACACGCTCGAACGAATTTGAAAAATCAGGAGACCCGGATAAATACCTGCAGGACCTCAGCGATTTGATAAATGAGGCTAGGCCTAAAGTCGTCGCTTTGGGCGAGTGTGGATTGGACTACGACAGGTTGAATTTTTCCGGAAAAGAACTCCAACTCAAATATTTTGAAAAACAGTTGGAACTTTGTAAAAACGTGAAGTTGCCCCTTTTCCTCCATTGCAGGAACGCTTTCGATGATGTTCACTCTCTTCTCAACAAGCACAAACCCCTATTTGGAGGTGTTGTACATTCGTTCGACGGTACGGCTGAGCAGGCGGATGCGTTCATAAAACAAGGCTTTCATATAGGGGTCAACGGGTGTTCGTTAAAAACTGAAGACAACTTGAAAGCCGTCAGAGAAATACCATCCGATCGCCTGATGATCGAAACCGACAGCCCTTGGTGTGATGTACGCCCTACTCATGCAGGTTTTAAATATGTACAAACACAGTTTAATTCGACAAAAAAGGAAAAGTGGAAAAGCGATTGCATGGTGAAAAGCAGGAATGAACCAGCGAACATTGTTCAAATTTTAGAAATTGTTTCTGGTGTAAAAGGTGAAAATAAAGAAAAACTATGTGACCAAATATATAAAAATACTTTAAATATGTTTTTTCCTAAATAAATTTTATTATGTATATTTATGAAATAATGTAAATAAATTGAATATTTGAATGTATTTTTTATTTTATATTATTATTTTTTGTTGTTTAGATAAACTGAATTGGGATCCTATTACCCTATGAGATTTTGTATTCCCGTCTTTTTCTTTTCCAATTCTGCTTCATAAATTAAACTTGTGAAATTAATAGTGTTTTGCGCTTGGAGGTCATGTCCAATGATCTCCCTTCACTGTTCTGGTCTGTCACCACTGAAGATGGTGAAATGTTCAACACAGCGAGGAGAGCCAATCTAAATGATCAACCACAACCAAATTATAGGTTCATTACCTCACAGACCACACAGTAAAATCTTTCGAATGCCTAACATAAATATGCAGCATCTAACACCTAATTATAACCAAACCTTGGAAAATGAACTTTTACCTATAAGACTAAGCACTTAACTTTGTGCTTCTTCGTGCGTCTCTTTTTGCATAAGAATTGCTTCACCGAAGTGACTACGGTATCTGGGCTGATGTATCACATGCACAAAGGATATATGCAGATATTTGTGTTTTTTTTTTTTACAGTTAGGATTCTTCTATTTCTGTATCTGCCTATGAAGAGGAGTTACTTCACCCTCACTTTTGATATATTTATATATAAATCTTTTACCTCATAACGAGTCCTTTTGTCCAGTTTTGTGTTTTCCTTTTTCCAGCCATTTTTCAGTTCAGACTTAAGCACATCCTCTATGCCTAGTTGTGGTTCATGTCCCATGGGTGAAGGGATCGCCCTTCTTCCTCTAGATGGTCAGCCTGTTCGTTCCATTCTTCTTCATGTCCTGGAACTCGACTAAAAGCGGCCTTGGATATTCTTGGGGCCACAAATTAACCATTCGCTAAATTTCGCCTTAAATTGGTGTTCTTAGCTAACATTTTTGCTACCCTGCCTTCTAAGTAACAAATACTCCAAAATCCATGTTTGATATAGTATCCAATGTGACATATGTGTTAGTTTGACATAGATAAAACAGACTCCAAATTCATGGATGATTTTAATATCCAATATGCCATATTTGTTGGTTTGACATTGTAAATAACACAGACTCCAAAATCCATGGTTGATGTAGTATCCAAAATCCGTTTGACACAGTATACAATATGACATATTTGGTGGTAGTAGATAACCCAAAGACTCTAAAATCCATGAATGACATATCCAAAACTCCAAAATCCATGGTTGCCATAGTATCCAAAAAGTACAGAACGATTGTTTGACATAGTATCCAAAACTCCAAACTCCATGTATGACATAGTATCCAATATGACATGTGTTAGTTTTACGTAAATAAAACAAAGACTCCAAATTCATGGATGATATAATATCCAATATGCCATATTCGTTGGTTTGACATTGTACACAACACAGACTTCAAAATCCCTGGATGTCATAGTATCCAAAAACTCCAAAATCCATGTTTGACATAATATCCAATATGCCATATTCATTGGTTTGACGATGTAGATAACACCAAGACTCNAAAGAAAATGAAGGGCAAGGAATTAATGTAAATCATATTACTTTCAATGACGGAGTATGGTTTAAGTACCAGAAATTCGAAAATAAACAAATATTAATGAAAAAATCCTTTTATTGCTTGCAAAGGGAGACTTCCTGTAACGGATGTAAAGAAAAAGGAACTTTCATATTTTGCTCACAATATTTGATCCAAAGACCTCACTACCAATATTACCTTTCAACACCAACTTCGGGTGAAGTAAGGGACTCTCTTCCTGACCAGATGCTAGCGAAAACGAACCTGAAGCGATTAAAAAAAAATCATGTTTAAAAAATTGCACTGTAGCGTTCACACGGCAGAGCTGTGTATGATTTGGCACGCTTTTCGGGCCATTCGAGACGATGATGGCACTGCCTACCTAGACTGCACCGACTCCCTGAGCGCGGTAACTGCTGTCCGTGATCTGTTTTCCGTCCACCTTCTCGAAGTGCTCTTGTTGGAGACATACCACGAACTGTAGAGTATCGGCAAAACGGTGGTTGTCTGGACATATTGGATATTATATCATTAATGGATTTTGGAGGGTAATGAAAAGTTGGACGAGGCGGCTAAGCCGAGGACGTCCAAACCACCGGATGTAACTACCGCGTTCGGGCCTCTGACGCTAAAAATACAATAAAAACCATGATTAACAGAATGTGGCAGCGTCAGTGGGTCGACTGAGAAGCTCTGTAGATGAGTGGCTCTCGGAGGATCTGACTCGTAGAAGAAGGTTCATCCCCTAACCGGTTAAGAATGCATCAAAAATTGACACATCGACACTTCCTAATGGGACCGCATGCAGAAAAAGATTGCTCGATGCGTCCCACCTCATTGAACGGTGTAATTTCTTGCCTCCATACAGGGAGCGCGCAGGAATGCCACCCGATTTGGGAATTTTGCTTGAGCTCGGAAGTTCCTGTTTCGATTCTTGGAGGAAACGGCGCTTTTCTATTGTATATAGTAAAAATAGTTGTGTATTCCTAGCTCATGTTTAGAGTGAATGTGTGATGTGAGGTGGTCAGTGGCGGAATATCCAGTACCCCATGGACCGACCCTCAATTAGGTTAGTTGTATAATCAGTGTAAAAGTTGTGCTGAGAGGGAATGTATTTATTAGCGTAAATGTGTGGTGAGGTGGTCGATGGCTGAATATCCAATACCCCACGGACCCTGAATTAGGTTAGTTGTATAATAAGGTGTAAAGGTTGTGCTGAGAGTGAATGTATTTATTAGTGTGAATGTGTGAAGTGAAGTGGTTGATGGCGGAATATCGAGTACCCATCGACCCTCAATTAGGTTAGTTGTACAATATGTGTGTGTAACAGGGCGTTCGAGAAATATCGAGTACTCGATCACCCTAATCGAAATAATGGTATATGATTAGAAATGTACGTTTTTAAGAATGTACATGAGCATGAATGCGTTCGGAACTGCATTCGTTGGGTGCTGAATTCACCCAGCTTTTGACAGCATCCGGAGCCGAACCCGTTGTTGGATGGACGACTGCAGTCTGCCGGAATCTGTCAGCAGTTGTAAATATCAAAAGCTGGAAGTTCCAGTGGTGCACGAGAAGCTCAACTCGGCATAAGTTTATATGCTGGTAAGTACATGCGCGGAATTGATCTTGTATAATTATTTTGATTAATTATACTTTTTATCCAAGATCTTGATTGAGATGAAAAAGCTATTGTCCTAGAATCTAATAATTATAGTGATAATTAAATCTTTTGTTTATGTTGAAAAATCATTTCGTAGATAAATATATTAATGTTTAAAATAAGAAAGATTTTAATTTTATGAATGTTTATGTTTTTATAATTATTATTTTTAATGAATGAAAGAATGTAGGCCAGTTTCTTCGTCACACTTTTTACTACTTAATTTAGTTTACCTCACAAGAATAAAAATAGAGAATGATCTCAGCCACTGAGTGAAATAATTACAATGGGAGATTTTTTTTCTGTATTGATGCATTATTAAATTTTTCAAATGTCAATTGCTTTGGCCTATTTTGTCTTGCAGCTATGGCATTTAAGGTTGAATAAGCAAATTGTTCCCTATTAGTTTCGCTTCTGGAGAAATCATCTTGCATAATAGACGTATAAGTGTGTGTGTGGTTTTTCTCTCTTACTCAATTTTGTGTGTGGTCAAAGGGTATTTTTTTTTTAAGAAAAAAGTACAACGGTTCACGGTGGCAAATGTATTTTTTAATATTTTTTATGTTTTTTTTTCTTTTTTTAATAAAAAAATATCACTTACGTTTATACAAAATAAAAAACAAAACAGCCTGCACAAATTAACTGAATTCGCTATGTTCTTTTGGAATTAATTTTAAAATTTTCTATCTTTATTGTTTCAGTTCATCGGGAAGCGGATTCAGCTGTTTGTGCAAACCTGGTAGACCCGTTTGGTTGTTGCGCGGTTAGGTGTCACGTCCGATGATATTTACAAGGTATTTAGTCAGCTTAGAATGGGACTCCGTAGGAGCCGGAGGGGCGAGAGGGTACTCCGTAACTTCCGGAGGGTGCGCTGTAGCTGTATCCACCGCCGCCTCCGTGTCCGCCGCTCTGTTCGAACTGGGCGACCTGGAGGGCCTGTTTGACTCCTTCGAGATCGACTCCGACCACCCTGCTGACGTACTGCTGACTCGGGACTCCGTAGGACGAGGATGGGACTCCGTAAGAAGAGCTCGGGGCTCCGTAAGACGAGCTGGGGTAGCCGCCGAATCCTCCGGAAGAGTGGCTGCTGCTGGCTTCGTCTTTAAGGAGGATCTGACGGACCTGTTCGAGGACGGCTCCGTCGACGTGCTGGCCTTCGCTGGTCGAAGGTCCGGGGGATACCGCTACGAGAGATCCGCCTCCGGAGTATCCTCCGCCTCCGGAGTATCCACCGCCTCCGGAGTATCCGCCACCTCCGGAGTATCCACCGCCTCCAGAGTATCCGCCACCTGTATAGCACATTTTCATTTTTAAGACAATGATCAATAATCAATTAATTCCTAAAAAAAAAGAACAAACGGAAAATCATATATGATCTGATTGTTTTCCGGATAATTGTTAATGAGTACGCATTGTTTCGCTGTTTTTCAACCCTTTCAACTTCGAGTTTCACAAGCCAAATTTTTTCAACCCGGTAAAAATAATGATAGCCAATAGAAAATTTCCATATAAAATAGGTAAAATGCGCATTTCTAAATTTCCTCTTGAGGATTTGAAGGATGTTGAACCTATAGTTAGATAATTTTGAATCAAGCCTGAAAAAAAGCGAAGATGGGCGGACCAAATCGATCCGAAACGAGCAAATTACAGGTCTTTATTTATGCCACGAAAAATCCGCCTTTTTCAGAAATTTTAAACTTTCTTTGTTTCATACCAGATTGTTTTAGGGTTCTGTTGGAAAGGCTGTAAAGATTCTGTTAATTTTTCTTTGCTCGATTCTTGCCTCATAAAATAAAAGATTATAAACTTTAATTGACTGTCGTACAACGCAGTAAAATATATAAAACAGCTTCATTCTGATGAGTATAAAATCACCAAATTACATAAATGTCCAAGTTAAATTAAAATTGAAATTCCGGCAAACAAAAAAAAATGCTCATTAAATTTTGCATGATGTTTCAGTTTTTAACACTGAAAATTTTTCGAACAAAGTGTTCAATTAATTATTTGGAGTAAGATGTAATATTTTTTTTTTATCGATTCTTGCCTCCAGATCCTCATATACTAAAAGGTCGTTAAGAGCTTTAATTGAGTCGTGTAACGCAGTAAAATATATTTTAAAAAAGCTTCATTCGGATGGGTATAAAATCACCCGATAAAAGAAATTTCCAAGTTCAGTTAAAATGTTATTCGAAATTCTGACAAAAAATAAGAAAACGTTCAGGAAATTTTGCATGATGTTTATGATACGATTGATGTTTCTGATTTTTAATATTGAACGTTTTTCGCAAAATTGACATTTTAAGCGATTTTCCGATAAAGTGTTTAATTAATTATTTCGAGTAAGGTTTTCGTAGAAAATGTTGTGTATGGATGTGTTGGCGTTAAATTTTTATACTTTTTATGTAAGGTCTTGCTTGAGATGCCAAGCCGAAACTCGTGGGTTCGAATCCCTTCGTGCCACTAACTTGTTACATCTCAACCAACAACACACATAAAAATTATAATTAATTGAAATAATTAATATGGTCAATTAGACCGCTAAACATAAATGGGTTAAATTTTTAGTTAAGCCGTTTTATAGCTTAGTTGATCGAATTCAAATGATTTATTTGCACTGAGAGTTAAATTTTCTTTTTTTAATTTTTGTAATGTATAAAAGCTTAGATGAACTTTTACCTCCGAAGCCACCACCGAATCCACCGGACGGTCTCGAATAGCTGTAGCCTCCTCCTACTGGCGGTTCAGCGGCGGCTACTGCAAGCGTCGCGACTAGACACTGTTACAAAGGAAAAAAACATTAAATGACAAATAATAAAAAGAGAAAAAAAAGAAGAGAGAAAATAGAAGAAATCAAGCCAACACGGGATTCAGAACTTTCCAAGTGCAACTGCATCGGAACTTTCACTCTAAAGCGCGGAAACTAGTCGATTTTTTTTTTGTTTTTAACTATCTGCTTAACAAAGTCCGTCCAAGCAGAGAATATTTTTATAACGATTTAATTGAAAATTAGAAAGTCGGGTATACAGGAAACGGGATAACAAGTGTGTTTGCGTAATCCCCCGTATCATCAGGTCGCTTTCTATAATCAAAAACCAAATAATATTTCAAAAAAAAGTTCGAATCCAAAACATAAAAATACAATGCAGTAAGAAGTGGTTTTTCATTCAGACAAATTTACGATTTCCCAAAAAATTTTCTTTTTGACTTGACTCCGAGGCTCACGAAAGAAAAATCCCGATTTTTTTTCTCAGAAACTTACCAAAGCGAACGCTTTCATGTTGAATGATGTAAGTAATCCAAAGCGGGCTGAGACTGTGTTTTCCAGACAGGGAGGCGGGCTTATATACCAAAAGGAACGAGGAGAAGGGTGCCCAGGGAACGAGTGGGGACCATACGGAAAAAGTCAATCCATTGTCCGCAACCGATATCTTCCCTTGACTTGTCTGTTTCTTTACTTTGTACGAAATCCTTTGGAAAACTATATCCACTCACTAGGTCAACTATCAACAATTTAGACCCAAATTTAAAAGACGTGTTAAAAAAACAAACGAAAAAAGATCATTTATGACAGGTCAATGTCCAACTATGAACAAAATTGATTTGCTATAATTATTACATTTTGCTTAATAAATATTAAATGAAATACCATAATTTTATATTATCCAGCACTTTAAAGCTATTAAAAAAACTTTTATTCCTAAAAACTTTCTATCTTTGAAAGTAACTATAAAATTAACATTGCATAACAACGAATTTTTCACAAAATTTAAGAAATTTGTCCAACTTTGCTTAATAATAAAATTGACAAAAGCTTTTGGTTCGTTCAATATATTGTTTATTGGCTATTTGGCCAAATTTTGATGGACGACCAGACAGCTTAATTTTACAGCCAAACTTTTGTTTCTGTACTAAATCGACGAATTTAATATTTGTTTTGTGAATAATCTTTTAAAGACTTTTCCCATTAAAAAAACTAATTGAATTCTCATCAATATTAAACGCAGGAGGTTGATCATCCTTGTTCTTGTACAGGTTATATTTTTGTTTTATTCTCTGACAATGTTTGATCTGGTTCTTGATAATTTCATCCTACTTGAAACTAAAAGTTAGATTATTACTTATAGTTTCGAAGTTCTGATAAAAGTTTCTAATGTAAAAACTGATAAAATTAAAATCATCAGTTTTATCCTTGCCGATCATCCCGGTTCTTGAACAGGTTATATTTGTGTAATGCCAATCTGGTTCTACATAATTTCATTCTACTTGAAACTAAAGGTCAAAATTGTAATTTTGTGGCTCTGATGAACGTTCTTATATAAATGCTAATAGAATCATATAAATCAGGTTTGATCCTGGTGATAATCCTGGTTCTTGTACAGGTTATATTTTGGTATTATTTGTTCTCGTTCTATATAATTTCATTGTACTTGAAACTAAATTATAATGTAATGATTATAATTTTGTGGTCCTGATGATGGGATTTTGAAGTATAGTCTAATAAAATCATATGAATCAGATTTGATCCTGGTGATCATCCTCGTTCTTGTTCAGGTTATGTTTTTGTAATATTTGTTCTCGTTCTACATAACGTCATTGTACATGAAACTAAAGTTCAAAGGAATGATAATAATTTTGTGGTTCTGATGAAGAGATTTTGATGTATAGGCTAATAAACTCATATGAATTAGATTTGATCCTGGTGATCATCCTGGATCTTGTATAGGTTATGTTTTTGTAATATTTGTTCTCGCTGTATATAATTTGAAACTAAAAGTCGAAATTGTAATTTTGTGGCTCTGATGATGGGTTGTGATGTAAAGGCTAATAAATTCATATAAATCAGGTTTGATCCTGATGATAATCCTGATACTTGTACAGGTTATATTTTTGTAATATTTGTTCTCCTTCTATATAATTTCATTCTACTTGAAACTAAAGGTCAATATTGTAATTTTGTCGTCCTGTTGAAGGGATTTTGATGTAAATACTACTTAAAATCATATAAATCAGGTTTGATCCTGGTGATAATCCTGGGTCTTGTACAGGTTATATTTTTGTAATATTTGTTCTCGTTCTATATAATTTCATTGTACATGAAACTAAAGTTTAAAGTAATGATTATAATTTTGTGGTCCTGATGATGGGATTTTGATGTATAGACTAATAAACTCATTTGAATCAGATTTGATCCTGGTGATCATCCTGGATCTTGTATAGGTTATGTTTTTGTAATATTTGTTCTAGCTGTATATAATTTGAAACTAAAGATCAAAATTGTAATTTAGTGGCTCTGATGAAGGTTGTTTTATGTAAATGCTAATAGAATCATATAAATCAGGTTTGATCCTGGTGAAAATCCTGGTTCTTGTACAGGTTATGTTTTGGTAATATTTGTTCTCGTTCTACATAATTTCATTGTACTTGAAACTAAAGTTTAAAGTAATGAATATAATTTTATGGTCCTGATGAAGAAATTTTGATGTAAAGGCTAATAAATTCATATAAATCATGTTTGATCCTGGTGATCATCCTGGTTCTTGTACAGGTTATGTTTTGGTAATATTTGTTCTCATTCTATATAATTGCATTCTACTTGAAATTAAAGGTCAAAATTGTAATTTTGTGGTCTTGTTGAAGGAATTTTGATGTAAAGAATAATAAAATCATATAAATCAGGTTTGATCCTAGTGATAATCCTGGTTCTTGTACAGGTTATGTTTTTGTAATATTTGTTCTCGTTCTATATAATTTCATTCTACTTGAAACTAAAGATCAAAATTGTAATTTTGTGGATCTGATGAAGGTTTTTTATGTAAATGCTAAAAGAATCATTTAAATCTTGTTTGATCCTGGTGATCATCCTAGTTCTTGTATAGGTTATATTATTGTTAACGAACGTTCTCTTGCCATGGTTATTGATAATTTCATTCTACTAGAAACTAGTAATATAAATATTAATTCGATTAATTATTATTTTTATCTAAGATCCTGGTTGAAATGAAAAAATGAGTGTCACGAGCGAGATTCGAACCCAAGATCTTCGGATCGATACACCGCTGCTCTTGCCATTTGAGCGTGACAGTGTATAATTAATATGGTCAATTATGACCGCTATTTACTTTTGTATTGATTAATCCCATTTGCACAAAACGTAGCATTGTGCCCTTCCATTCTGCCACACCTAATAAATATCGCATTTTGTTAATCTTTTTTCCTTCGTTGATTTCATTTGATATTATTCTTATACCGGTTTCAATGGCTTCCGTCAAGAATTTGAGTGAGTATGGCAGTGACATGGTCATAACATTTTTAGACGAAGGTTGCAGCTAGCGACGTCGCCAGGAAATTGAGGATAAATCACTGTACAATCGGAAGGGTTCTTCGGCGCTTCAGAGAAACTGGGCTTCACACTAGGTCAGGATAGAGTCGACTCTATCGTGTGTAGGGCTAAGGACGAGAACGATTATAGATCCATCCTTCATCAGGCTCTACGAAACCGCAGCTCTACGGGAAACGAGGCAAGAAATCTGATAAATCATGTCCGAAATGTTTCGATTTCCTTCAGGACTGTAAGAAGAAGGCTCAATGAAAATAACCTCAGAGCGTGGCATCCGGTTCGAGGACCTCTTCTTTCCAGAGCTCAGGAAATAGCCAGGCTCAATTCGGGAACATGTGAATCGGACATTGGAAGAGTTCTCTTTACAGATGAGGTGAGAGTTGACCTCAAATCTTCAGTTGGTGTAATTTCATATGAAGACGCTCAGGAGAAAGGTTCCTCGGGTGGTGGCGTTCAACGTTGTGTCATTGATGTTCTGGGGCATTTGCTTGGACGCTCGCACCGAATTGGTTGTTATGCAAGGAGGTCGTCATATAGTGCCATTTGCTTCCACATCGGTAAGCGCGTGTTCTTGCTAATGCAGGATAATGCAATGCTCGATAGAGCAGTATTGTGGATGACTACCTGAATAAGGTTGGAATTGAGTGCTTGGTGTGTACAGCTCGAAGTCCAGATTTGGACCCAATCGAACACATATGGGACCAACTTGGTCAGCGACGAATACGACAGCGAAACCCAGTTCCTAACACCTTAGAATTCTTGATGGATCGGAAAGTATTCCTCAAGAAATTATCAAAAATCATTCCCAAGGAATGCAAAGGCTTTAATGGACGTGATTCAAGCCAGGTATGGAAATACTTGGTATTAAAGGAAGAATTTTTTTAAAATTTGTATTTGTTTTTGATTTTTTTGTCTTCTTTACTAATAATTATTTTTTTAGAATTAAGTAATAAACATTTTCTTTTCAAACAATTCTTATTTTTACAACCAAATCTATTTTTGCAAAACATGAACAAATCTAAATAAATTAAAAATTAAGGATGGTGCGTTTATTTTGTCCATCAGTTTAGTTTCACAGATCCTCGATGTAAAGTCTCATAAAATGACAGTGTCAAATATATCAGGTTTGTCCACCATTCTGATCCATGCGCAGGTTTCTGAATGTACAAGACTTGATTGATCTGGTTCTAGGTTTATTCTGCTTGAAACTAGAAGCGAATATTTGCAGTTTTGTGATACTGATCAAGTGTTCCTGGATGTAGTCTCAAAAAATCAAATATATCAGGTTTGATCCTCGTTGAACGTCTTGGTTATCGTCCAGGTTATATTTCTATTAGAACGTACTTGACTAGATTGACTTGGTTTTAGACAATCTGATTCCGCTTGAAACTAAAACTTAATACTTGTAATTTTGTAGTACTGATGAAGTGTTTCTTAATGTTAACTCACATAAAATCAAATATGTCAGGTTTGATCCTCGTTGAACGTCCTGGTTATCGTACAGGTTATATTTCTATTAGAACGTTTTTGACTTGATTTCGTTCCAGACAATCTGATTCTGCTTGAAACTAAAAGTTTAATACTTATAATTTTGTAGTACTGGTGAAGTGTTCCTCGATGTAAACTCATATAAAATCAAATATGTCAGGTTTGATCAATGATTGTCCTGGTTCTCGTACAGGTTATATTTATTTCTATTAAGACCTATTTGACTTGATTTAGTTCTAGATAATTTGATGCAGTTTGAAACTAAAGACGAATTTGAACCAGAGTTTTGTGGTACTGATGAAGTAAGTGTTCCTCGATTTAGTCACATAAAATCAAATATATCAGATTTGATCCTCATTGAACATACTGGTTATCGTACAGGTTATATTTCTATTAGAACGTGTTTCAATTGATTTGGTTCTAGATAATTTGATGCAGCTTGAAACTAAAGACGAATACTCGGAGTTTTGTGGTACTGATGAAGTGGGGGCGTCGGTGGCCCAAGGTTTAGTCTTTGACACGGCGCTCATCACTGT